GCAGGGGAATCACTTGAGGTCAGGAGTTTGAGACCAGCCTGGGGAACATGGTGAAACCCCATCTCTACCAAAAAAATACAAAAATTATCCAGGCATGGTGGCAGGCAGCTGTAATCCCAGCTACTGGGGAAGCTGAGGCATGAGAATTGCTTGAGCCTGGGAGGTGGAGGTTGCATGAGCCGAGATCATACTACTGCACTCTAGCTGGAGCGACAGAGCAAGTCTCCGTCACCAAAAAACAAAAACAAAAACAAAAAAAAAATCCCAAAAAACCTCGTCTAACAGGCTTATTGTTTAAGTACTTAGGTTCATTTTGTTACTGATGAATCACTGGAATGGATACTGCCAAATGAATTATGGGATCATTTTAGATTTGATGTATGACTTTTATTATTAAAATTCTATTTGTGGGTAAAACTTCCACCATGCCAAGAAAGAATGGGGAACCGATTCTCCCTAGCAGAAAGTTTGAGAATTTGAGTCAGATGATAGCCTAAAAGAAAGGGGATGATATTTTCATGGAGTCTTTAATTTATAAATATCCATGCCCACACAGGTGACAAAATTATACACAACTTAATACATACAAACAAATGTGTTCAAGCAGAACTGGAGAAACCTGAATGAGATTGGTAGATTGTAGTAATATCAATATCCTGGTTGTGATATTGTACTACAGTTTTGCAAAGGTTTGGCGGAAACTGGGGAAATGTGTAAAAAGGATATTTCTCTGAACTATTTTTTACACTGCATGTGAATCTACAATTACAACAAAAAAAAATTTAAAAAGGTCTGTGCATTGTAACTGCTAGATACTAACAAATATCAAATAAGTTCCACAACCTCATGGAGCTGAACATTCTGATCAAGACGCTGTTGACCTTTTCTTGATTAACTATCCTCCTAACGAAACAGGGAAAGCCCACATCGAGAACCTTGAGGGCAAAGAAGAAACATCCAGCCAGAAGCCAAGGCTCTCATGACCTGCCACTGTGGAGCGAGAAACGCTGTTGGACAGCACTCCCAAGTGGGATGGGCACCTGCAGGCTGCTTGGCTCTCCCTCCCTGGCTGATCAACAGGGGCCACCAAAAATGGTAGTGTCATGTCTCAGGCTGCAGAGGGCTTGGATGAGGGCAGTTCCTACCCTGTTCTAGAATGCTGTTTGTGTAGAGGAATGACTGAAAGCCTGAACAAAGGAGGATTATGTTGCAGAGGCTCAAACATGTCATGTGACGAATGGTTAAAGAAGCTGGAGAAATTAAGCCAGAGAAGAAAAGACCCAGGAGAAAAGCAGCAGGTGGTGGTGATGATAACTGTTTTCTCAAGTAAGAGATGGGCTCTCAGGAGGAAGAGGAACTGATTTCTTTTGTGTGGCCTCAGTTGGTGGTAACCTCAGTAGAATTTTCAGTTACCTTCCAAGAGAAGACATGTGACATGCTTTTTCACCCCTTCAACAGTAAATAACACACACACTAACAGCAGCACTCCCACCGGGAGTACCACTTACAAGTGAACACTGCAGGCGACTGCCAGCTAAAAAGGCTGTCTCCTTCCTGGGAAATTAGGAGACCAACGTCCTGATCAACCTGTGTCGTTACAGTGGAAGCATGCAAAAAAAAAAAAAAGAGAAAAAGAAAAATCAGTCACCAGGAAGAGTGCCTTTCCCACACACTTTTCTCCCAGAGAAGACTCAAGAATGATCAGTGGGAAACTGGATTTAGACCAAACTCGGCTATAAAGTAATAATCAGGAACAAAAAACTTCCTAACCAAATGCTAACATATGAGCTGATTAATGAATCTCACCTCAAATATCAAAGATTTACATGAAAAGCCAGCTTTTCAGTCACTTGTGTGTTAGCTAATCCCTTTGTTGTCTAATATTCCATGCTCAGCAACCCTGGAAGCAGTGCTGTGATAAAACGAGGAGCAGAAACAGAGCCAGGAGACGGAGCTCAGTTCCTCCCTCCACCACTTACTGGCTGTGTGAGCCAGACCTCAGTTTCTTCATCTGTAAACAAGGACAACACTTCCAACCACTCCGAGTTGAGAGAAGGGCGTCAGAAGAGAATGCACGTAAACGCTGGGCATGGAGAGGCTGCCAATAGAGGTTTGTTCCTTCTGAATCTCTGTGTGACTGTGGACTCACACCAGCCTCCTTCAAAAGGCTTCATCTCACATATTAAAATAGGCAAACAATATCTTTCCTCAATTAAAAAAAACTGCCCGGCCGGGCGCGGTGGCTCATGGCTGGAATCTCAGCATTTTGTAAGGCTGAGGCAGGTGAATCATGAGGTCAGGAGTTCGAGACCAGCCTGGCCAACATGGCGAAACCCCGTCTCTACTAAAAATACAAAAAATTAGCTGGGCATAGTGACGGGCACCTGTAATCCCAGCTACTCAGGAGGCTGAGGCAGGAGAATTG